GTATAATAACTATTCATGCATCTCACGTGGGTGTGAGTTTCAGGTGAGAGCTTTCAAGATGAAACGCTGATGATGCAGTCTTCTTCTAATATTCTTTTTCGAGCTCTCCTTTATTCTGCCGTTGTCCCGTCTTGTCTCTTCTCAACGCGCGACCATCTTGAGTATGCGTAGATGGTTTTAGACGGTAAATGGGTGAAAAAATTCGTCGGATGACTCAGGACGGGCCTACAAGCGCGACGCACGTGAACCACGTCGGGACGGCATTTATCCGGGAAGAGAGGATGTAGGCAGACAATGGAACGAAATAACGAAGAGTCGGGCCGCGAAGCCGAACGTCGTCTGTAATTTGCATGCAATGTAACCGGGGATACGATAAATATGCATGATTTTGGTTAGAAGAGGATGAAAACTTGCGAATGCAGCGAGCACGCTAAGCACACTGTTCTTTTGTATCGAATATACGAAATTTAAAATATAAAAGAATTATGTAAGGGGTACTCAAAATGGCCTACTTCTTATTTGTTGATAATTAGAATGTTGATAATTAGAATGTTAAATCTGCATCCGTATAAATATTGAAAATGTCTCAATGTTCAGAAATGTTTCTTATTTTAAATCTGACTATCAGATTATTAATGTTGGATATTTAATGTTGGATTCAACAAAAATTTACAATGCTTAGACTAGTTTATTAGATACATTTATTTTTTATACAGATTTTCTAAAATATAAAAAAAAAACATAATCTATGATATAAAAGATTTTAAGAGTTTTTTTCTAAAAATCTTTATACGAAAAGGAAATTTTGCTGAAATATCTAAAAATTTAATTAGATCTAAAAATAATTTTGTTGGACCATAAAAATAATTACGTAGGAATCTCAAGTATGATGAACACTGCTGCGAAAAGTTTTAGCAATTTGAGTGTCTTACGTATTTATTTTCATGGTTGGTACAAATTTATTTTCAGATCTGTATTTAGTTAAATTTTTACATATTTCAACAAACTATTCCTTTCGTATATACATTAACTAAAAATAATTTCCTTTTTTTCTGCGTTTCTAAGTGTCGCAGTTGTGTTTATTCACTGCGATAGACGTCGATTATGTTTACTGTGACTTGCGCATGAACATCGAAACTCGCGATGTCTTTGTTGAAAGCAGGATCGAGGCGATCGTGCTTCTCGAAGCATCCTAACAAGCGAGCCCTCGGCCTGCGTCTCGGCACGAAGTAGGGACGCCTAGCAATTTCGAAGATGATCATAGCGCGGCTCGTTGCAGTGTACTCGCGCACGAGTGCCAGAAGCTCAGGCCAAGGAGCGAGAAACGCGGAGTACCGGATGAATATTAGATCGGTATTAAATATTTAATATTATCAAACGCCGCGCCTTTGATAAGCAAGACGCCGCGCAATCTTTATTCCGCCATAATACTATGTTCGGCACGTCATCGCACGTCAGGAGGTAACGTCACGAGCGTTAACTAACATAGCCGTAGAATATCGCCACGGGCATAATCATACGAATGCGTGGAGGAATTTGTCGATATTAATCAACGTCGTTGCGAGGGCACAGTCGAGTCTCAGGGGCGCGGGATGGTGTAACATACCCGGCAATTTACGAGATAATAGTCTCTCTCTGCCGGGACCGTCTGGATAAGCGAGCACGCGAAAAGCCACGGTGCGATTACTTTCTAATTATCGGCGATGACTCCTCCTTCCCGCGACGCAATTTAACGTAGATAACTATAAACGTGTGCTGTTTATCCTGAACCACGGGGGACCACTGTCGTGTAGAAGAGGGTAAACAGGCAGAGGGAGAGAACAGCGTGTTTTCGATTTGCGTTAATTAATTAGCGGCCGAGCGACAGGCATTCTCGTTTCTCGAAGAGACACCTGGCAATTTCGCAGCGCGTCGTTTAGCATAGCCGGACATTAAAACGTACGTGAAAATGGCGCGACGACGGTGTTGCGGGTAGCCGCAAGTGACAAGTCGACGCGGTCAAGTAATTTAGAACGTAACAGCGGTCGAGACAAGGCATCGCGTCGTGTCTCGTCGTGTCGCGAAAAAGCGATGCTGAAACTAATATTATCACGATAACCGCAGACTTGCTTCTCGAAAAATCTGAATTTTACTTTAATTTCCCATAAGACGGCTACAATGAGATTTTAAAGCATAAAACTTAAGCTTTAAGCCCTAAGCTGAAAAAATTAAATAATCGATTATTCTTTTCACATTCAATTGTAATTGGTCAATTTCTTATGGCTAAAAGCTTATTTTCTTAAAATCTCATTATATATAAATGTCGCTTTAGAGATCTAACACGAATGACTTGAACACTCCAACGCTCTCATTGCGAAACTGTTCTCACGTATGACTTTTTTTTTCATTCCTCAGTCCGGCTTCGCCGTCCAGTTTCGTTCGACTTTCTAAATCCTTCTTCCTTGCTTAAGTCATAGTTATGAGGTGGAAAGAAGCAGTTAGCGTCGATGAAACCGGATTTGAGTATTTTACATCAGAATTTTTACTCAAAACTTACTATAAGATACCGAAATATAAAAATATTGAGATATGAGGCGTTTTAAATAATAACAAAAAAAAATTTAATATTGATGATCCACCAGCGAGCGACGTGAGATCGTCATTAGATTATGAACGATCAGCTTTACCGGACGCTTGAGTGTCGTCGATTGCGTTATCGGAAGCTGCCTCACTTTCTATGGCAATCGATAAAATCGCACGGTTCGCACAATCATAATTTTCGTAATACGCGATCAAATAGGTGGGCGATAGAGGATGAGCGGTGGGACCGGAAGCCACGGTTTGTCCAGCCGTTGAACCTAGTCTCGTTTAATTCCGCTCACGGAGTGGCTCCGCAACGAACCGGGGCTATTATAGCGCTGCACCGAGCGAGGATGACGTTATATACCCGGAGGCTCTCCATCGTTGAACTATCTCTTCTTTCTCTCCTGTCTCTCTTTGCGGCTTCCAACCGAGTCGTCTTCTCGCGAGGCGAAGCACTCAGTCACTACTAAACGACGCGAGAGAGAGAGAGAGAGAGAGAGAGAGAGAGAGAGAGAGAGAGAGAGAGAGAGAAGTTAGGCTACAACAGATTAACCCGTGCGGACCTCGCTAATTTCCACAGCTTGGGAATACCAACCGGTACCTGCGCTGGATTGCGGATGTATACGGCAGGAAGTTTTGTGATTCCCGACTTCCTCCCGTAAGCGTCTCGTCGTCGCCCGGCATACGTGCAAAACCGGGCCCCGTGATGAGGAAACGTTTTCAATCTCTCGCTGTCGCTGTCGATTCATATTGGCGGATTAACGGACGGAGAAACGAGAGAACCGACCGTCCGTGGATATTATCTTCTTGCTGCGTCTCACTCTTCATTCGTGTGCAATACTGTCGGTACTATATATTAACCGGCTTGATGATACTCGTTTACGACATAAGAATCTGTTATAACGCGCCGTCGAATGAACAATTTACATGTTAAAACTTTGCTAGCATTACTTTCAGCCATAAATGAAGTTTAAAATTAGAATTAGAAAATTATTCAAAATAGAGGCAAAAAGATCACGTATCAATTTTTTAGCTAAATCCTGATAGGTATACACTACCGCTCAAAAATTACAGTACATTCTCCATTTATGAAAATTTCGTAATATAAAGAATAAGGTATGAATATAGCATGTATTAGAGGTTTATTTAATTTCTTACCACATTTTTTTATTAAAATTGAAACTCAAAGCCTAATCTCCTTAGATTTTAATAATAAAAATAAAAAAAGTAAAACTTTTGATACATTTTGCAAATGTCTTAATCCAAGATTTGTATTTAATTTTTACAAAAATATTGTTTATATACCTTTCTCTTATTGTTAGAATATTTCTTATTATCATAATATTCAAATGTTAAGTATCTAACAAAATTTAAATTTCAATCGATTACATGATATTTGTCGATTTAAAAAACATATAGTTTCCATTTTTAATTATTTTTCGACAATTCAAGACTTTATTGTACACTTACGCGACCAAAAATACGAGAATATATCACATCATAATTCCATATTTTATATATAAAAAAATATATAAAAAAAAAATTTTTAATAAAAACGTAACACATGCTGAAACTTTTGAGCGACAAGATATACAGATGCTAATTTAATAAACAGGATTTTTAATTATTCTTTAATAACACTCTATTTTAACAAAACACGAAAGAAATAATTATAACGTTATTAATCATAATGGGTACTCCAATTTGAACGTTTGCGAGCCTCTTCGTATTCCATCGTATTCAAATCGATTATGTCTAGAATAGATTTCTCCGTGGATAATTGGCAGTAATCGCGGAACTTTCTGCATCGCCCATGTGGACAGGTGCATTTTCTAGACATCGTTATAATCGGATGCCAAAGACGGAGAGGAAGAACGATTAAATGAATGAGGTCTTATGGCAATAGGGAAGCGGAAAACTGTGTGTCTTTTATAATGCTCAGTAAAATATCCCGTTAAAAGATCCTGGGTCGATCCCACGAATTTAACGATTCAATCCTCCTTCCCGGACAAAGTACGTTATAACTACATCATAACCGGTATTCCCTCAATAAAGCTAATTGCGACGTGTATGTCCGTTCAACAAATAGTCTTACCGCTCGCTCGATGGCATATCATCTGACTGAAATACGGGAAACGAAGATTGTGCGCAAAAGACGTACAGAAAACAACCGTGCACGCAATGTTTCAATTCGAGAGCAGAACTGGTCACGATTTTTCTCAAAAGCGGAAATTGATTTTACAATTAGTTGTGCAATGTATTTTTTTACAAAAGCATACAATGATTCACAATTTCAATTTTATAAATTACTTTCTCTCTTACGTACTTATCTTATTATAAAAAAGTTTGCGATTACGATATTAAATTTCCTCGGGAAATTTATTTAAAAAAAAATTAATAATGGATGTAAAAAGGCTTTAAAAAAAATTGCCACTTACGAGTTAGAGGTAGAGCGTGCCGACACGTCGCGGTGCCACGACAGTGACAGCCAGACGAGGCCCACATTTAGTTGGTGGCAGCGGTGCAGTCGTGGCGGGCGGCGGAGTCTCAGGTCTCGTGCAGCCGAGGCCGCTTCCACCTCGTAACTCCCAGACTAAATTCGTCAGCGATCGTGGCCTGCTTAAACGTCTCGATCTGGATTTCATTTCAAAATATCGAAAAAATATAATACAAACTTATCGCAAATATTATTGAAATATTATCCTCTTTTAGCTAATATAACCGAAAATATGTGAAATTACTTTTATATTCTATAAAACTTTTATAAGCCGGTATTCACAGTCAGATCTTATATTCAAGACCGTCCTAAGAAGTTACGAACCAATCAGAGGGCTGTATCAGCGTTTTAAGACAGTCTTGAAACAAGAACGGACTGTGAATATCATCCATAGTGAATTATTATACTCTAAAAAGTGAAATCTCACTCTTAAAGATTGAAAATTGAGTCATCCTTTTTCAAGACTCGTTCTTCAAATTTCACTTTTTAGAGTAAAGATTCCACTCCAAAGACTTTAGAGAATATGCGTAGTCAAATATGTATTATAACAAGAGATAATATAATCAAACTTCATTCAATTTTAAATTCATTTTTAAATAATGCGACTTGGAGTTATAGTAAAAGTACAATATAATAATTCCAAGAAAAGTATATTATTCATTCAATTATGCTCTTTTTTTAATAAAAGAATAAAAGGCGTAACTAATAATC